TAATTCATGTACTTTTGCGTGTTTTATGCAGTCTTGTTTGGCCTGTGAGCATTGAGAACAATGAAAATGGGATTAGTACTTGTCTAAAGATCAGCAGAATATGTTTTGGGACATACTAGTATGTATAAAGAGGACACAATAGGTGTTTTCTGTTGTAACTCAGTTTGCTCTATTATGTTGAAAATAGCCTCTTTATTTTTCCTTTGATGAACATTCCCCAGCGTGTTAAAAAAAAAAAATACATAAATGGTAACAACCTGCTTCCTGCTTGTGGAAACATCAGACCTGGGCCTTTCAAGTATATATTTGTAATCTGGTTTTAGATATGTTTGAGTCTAAAAAATGTATATAAGATCACTGCAGAAACAAATAGAATCATGTTTATGGGGAAGATGCTATTTCTGTTTATGCCACATTTTCTTTGGGTTGTTTTTTTGTTTGGTTTTTTTTTTGGGGGGGGGGGGGGTGGGTTTTTTTGGTTTGGTTTTGGTTTGGTTTGGTTTTTTTTTTTTAGTTTTGGGGTTTGTCTTTTTGTTTTTTCCTCTAGAACAGTGTGTTACAATTGAGATCTTCAGTGGACCGGCTGAACTTGAACTTTGGTCAAGTAACTCACAATGTCTAGTACCTGTGGTGCATCGGGCCGTCCTGCTCAGCAAGTTTATTCTAGTAAACTGCTCCATCCCTTATATGTTTGTGGATCTTGGTGCTCAGAATGAGTTCAGATTAATCTCAAACATAACAGAATTTAAGTAACCTTTCTACTCTTATGTAGAGGTAGCTGCCACACTGAACTTAACCCTTTCAGTCTTTTATATACGAAGTTTTCTAGGGAACAGGAAAAAAAAGTCCTTTTATATCACATGAGTATTCCTGCTTGTAAATTCTTACCAATACTGCCATCAGTGCTTAAAATACAATAAAGTTCAAGTGTAGCATAGTACACTTGTTGGGTAGGTTGTGCAGCCATGAAATACAGATGTGATTACTATTTCCAGACTTCAGTGTTGCTGTTTGCATCTTGGAAACATATCAGATGGAAAAGAAGTCTGTAGTTCTGTCTAATGCTGGAAGACATGCAGAAATAAGACTGATAATTTATTTTTTGTTCTCTTCTGGTTAAGAATGTATTAGGTGTATGTTGGGAGTGCCCTGCAGAGCAATTTACTTATATAGACTGGCTTTCAGAAGGCTCAAGGGTTTGTTTTAATTTTTTTCCCCCCATGCTGATGTTTTAGATCTCTATGCTGTCAAACTAATCTTTGCAGCATTTTCACAAGCTTTCATGACTTCAGCTTAAAATTTTTTCCTAGATTTCATAACCCAGCAAGGAATCACAGATTCATCTTCCCTTTGACTGAAAGGCTTTGTGTCTTTATGTGGTGTCCCCAACCAAGGATGCTGCAAAAGCAGCATTTGGGGATGGGAATAGGACATGGGATAGGGGAAGGATGTGTCGGTTTTAAGGTCTCTCAACAAATGAGGGAGATAATCATGTTTCAGACATTTTATTAAAAATGTCAAGAAAACATTCCTGCAGTACAAACCAATAGGGTTGTGTTCTTCAGTTTCAGGTTTACTAAATAAAGCTAGATAATAAACTCCCAGAAGGTTATATTCCCCCCCCCCCCCCATCTGAGTGTAGTGTGGTGGGGTCTGTAACAGAGAATTCATGTTTCTTTTCCAATAATCCCTTTCTAAATTAGAGCTATGTTAGTATTGTCATTCTTATTAGCTATGCAGAGATTTCATTGTTTACTACATTTATTTTTAATAATAATAAAGGCTAGATTTTATTTCCAGGAATTCATACAGTCTTTCTGCTTGAAAAAATGGTAGCCAGTCCTTCAAATACCTACTGAGGTGAGGTTTTCCAGACTGCACATATGCACTCTTAATAAAGTTGCTTTCTGTACTGCTGACAATTACAATGTATCCTGTATTGACAGCAGTTCAGAAGTTCACTAGCTGATGTTGGTTTTCTTTTCTTACTGCAGCTGTTCTGGGTGAACACAAATGTATAGTGATACAGCAGCATGCTAACTGCAGTATGATAACAGCATATATTAAATATGATCTGTCTTAACATGCTGAAAATATGCTTGAGTATTCTTTGCTTTTTCAATGTTTTCCTCTCAGAAGCTTTCATACTTTAAGTTCCATCCATAGGATACTGCTGGTGCTTTGCTCATGGCTTCTTTCAATAGCAGCATTTTGCTTTTTCAGATTCAGTAATAGATATCCCAAGGACCTGACAATTGCTTATGAAAACAATTTGTCAGCACTCAAAATGGGTATAGGGGTTTCATTATAGACATACTATGCCTAAACTGAGACCCTGTAAATTTGCTTTCACTGAAAATGCCAGCTGCCCTTCTCTAAGAGTTTGATTCCTGTGGAGGGGATGGCAGAGCTGGTTTGAAGCAGATGCTGCCTTTGTGCAGTGGGTTCAGGGCTGCTTTCTTTATGTGTTTCCCCTTTTCTTCTTCCCTTGTATCCACCACATTCCCATTTTATTGCTTCAAAAGGTTGATCCAGCATTGCCCTGGTATGTTCATACATCTGTTTAGTCTGGCCAGACCTATTGTGAGTGTCTGCTCAGCCCCTAGAGAAGGTCTTAAGGTAGATGCTTCAGTCAGATCCAAAGTCAATAAACCAACAGTGTGATTGCTGGCCAGCTGGATAGGCTGAACTGATTTAGAGCGTTAGTGAATAAGAAGACCTGAACTACAGAGAAGATGTATGTATTTGTGGAAAGTTAATTTTACTGTGGTTTCTGAATTTTATCAAATTCAGCTTGTCTGTGGTCCTTCAAAGCTAGGCTTGGCAGCAAGAGGAGAGGAATGGCACGTATGAGATAAATCCAGGACTTCTGCTTTATTGCACTGACAGAACCAAATTGTTCAATCTGTTGTCTCATCTGTTTCTTGCCATAGCTGGGAGTTGTAAAGGTCAGGCCATCACAGCACAAAGAATATAATAGTTAACATGCTGCATCTCGCAGTGTTACCAGCTGGCTAGTGCATTTCTCCCATTGAACATCCAGGCTCTTTCCCAAAAAGCGTAAGCAGATTCTCTGCCTATTTTGGGAATGTGTCGAAGTCAAAAGTTACAGAAGGTGGTTATGTGGGATGCTCATTATGGTCAGCACTGCACTCAACTCCAGTGCCCTGTGCTGCACTTTCAAGAGGGCTGCAGCAATTGTCAGTTTGAAATAATTCTCATCACCCTGAGAAGTGTGACTTTTTTGGTCTGTGTAGAGTACAGGTCTCTCTACTGAGAAAAAATTACCTTATTGTCAGCTGTGTGTTTTTGAGGAGGTGTTACATGATGGAAGCCTCTACCAGTGTGCCAGTCACCCCAGCCCCCACCTCCTACCACAGTTGGGTGGACAAAGATTTCATCCCCCAAAGGAAGCAAGTGTTAACAGTCACTCTGCTTGTTACAGCCTTGTGTAGAATGAGAAGTATGGGTATGGCAACAAGGCAATACTGATGTATCAAAATTACTGTGAAAGGATGTGGATAAAGCAGGTAATGTGTGATACAAATAAATATGTACAAAACTGACTGCTATGAAAGACCTTCTCTGTGTAATCTTCAGTATAGATGTGTAATGTAACTGTCTGTCTTGAAAATATTAGAAGGGTACACGAAGTAAATGTACTTTGTTGTCCTCCTGACCCCCAGTTTTGACATGTCTGACTCTCTAGCTATTTGATCTCCCTCTCTGTTTTCCCATGGGTCTAGTACATGTTAAATGATGAAGCTTGCATGAAGATTAATGACACACTCTTGTCAGTATTTGACAAGAGAAAAATGGAACTAAAAGCCAGATATTACTCCCAGTATTTTATTAACAGTTTTGCACCCTAACAACCATTTACCTTTGCAAAAAACAGACTGGTGCTTCATACCACATTAGAACTTTGAACTTAGCTCTACTTTGGGGAGCCTCAGTATGTTAATATTTGCTGGGTTTTGCTGTAGGTTGTCAGTAAGCATCGATGACTCAGATATGTTTGTAATTTAAAAGACAAAATTAATTTCGAAGTTCAGAAACATACTGGGATGACAAAAAAATAAAAATCGTGATTTTTATATAGGTTAGCTAGTTTCCTAGTCCCTTGTGGTTCACCAGTATGTTGCATAGAGACTGCATCAGTGCTTTGGCCTCCAAACACCACTGGGCTTCTGCTGTCTGAAGCATGCATGTTGGCCGTCATGGATGATACCACTGCATGTATGTTTGGTACACACTGTGGGAAGGGGAGGCATGGCCTGGGCTTTCTGAGAGCAGGAGCACTTGGTTGGTTATTGAGTTATGTCCTGTATGTTGTAGCTGATTGACTGGATAGGAACACCCAGCAAAAACCTAGCGCTGTCCTTGGCAGTGTGGGATCGTTGCCTCACACCTGTTGGTCTCAATCCAGTTGCTTACTTGGCAAATCAGAATGGCATAAAAGATCCTATTTTAGCATAGTGCGCATTATTCTTCAGTGCTTTGTGTTAAGAAGCTACATCACAGATGAAAGCTAGCAGAAAAGATGTCAATGGTTTAAAACTGAATTCATTAGTTGGGTTTAGGTTTCTAAGATGTACAACCTGCTTTTTTGGCACTTGTAATAAGAGACAAAAATGCCTTTTGGTAAAGTCTACTTGCTAAAACTTCTTGTTCAGCTAATATTATAACTAAATTCAGTATTCTAATTTTTTTCTGCTGTTGCTATTCAGGGAAAAATATCGCCATAACTTGTTCTTTATTTCTTCAAATCTTGTTAAGTTATCCAAGTCACTGTTTGACTTAACAGAAGATCTTTGGTTTATGTTTCAACACTTTACTTGGAATGCTTGTCAAAGTTAAATGTTTTCTTTCTTTATTAAAAAAAAAAGGAGGGAGAAAAGCATATTGTATGATATTTTAGTACATCCTGATTTTGACTGTTCATATGGCTCATCCTTCAGAATGCTGTTTAATTGTGATTTACTTTTCATTCCTAAAAGGTGCCATACTTGGCAGATCAGAAACACAAGAGTGTATCTACTACAACGCTAATTGGGAAAAAGATAAAACAAATCGCAGCGGTATTGAACCGTGTTATGGTGATAAAGATAAAAGACGACACTGTTTTGCTACATGGAAGAATATTTCTGGATCAATTGAAATTGTGAAGCAGGGTTGCTGGCTAGATGACATCAATTGTTATGACAGGTAAGTTTTCCTATAAATTTTAATTTTTTTTGTAATTTTAAACTATTATGCCTGTCCGTAATTTTTAAATCCTCCCATCTGCCATCAGTACTTGAGACAAAATGATAATACAATAGATTTTGAATAGTTTTCTTTTTAGATACACACATGCATACACATACACTTTCTTTTTTCTCCCCTTTCATTACCTGTGTTTAGGGACCCAAATTTATTGAAGTACTTTGTCTTGTCTGCATAATAGCATGCTTTACCTTTTCTCATTTATTTAATAAATATTTAAAACTAGGTGTTTAATTTTTCTTTTTTGGCCATTAATAATAGATTTTCTAATGACTTGTTATTGCCTGTTATTGCCAAACAGTGCAAATGTAGTTACTGAAACCAGAATACAAAATTCTATATTTTGCTTTTCCAACATCTTTGGAGTAGTAAAGTCAGTACTTTGTGTCTGTTCTTTGCATAAACATGGAAGTATTTTGCTGATTTTTTTTTTAAAAAGCTCACCTCGGTGGCAGCTCTGAGAGACACTGACTATTCTAGAATTCCAGTCTTTTTATAACAGATGGTCTAGCAAGTACCCATGAGCAGTAACAGCAGGACTTGAGGTTTGTTAGATACTGGCTGAATAAAGGTTGTGACTCTCTTAAGAAATGGTATTATAGTTCTCTGAAGTACTGTAGTAAGTTTTATTCAACCAAGAAGTAATTGTTTGGAAAGGGAGAGAAGAAAATAAATGCATAATAGATCTTCATTAAAATGTACCTAGAATTTCTTTTTTAGCAATATTTTAGAAAATTCTGCTTTTGTGTTTCTTAAATGTTGAATGAGTAGAAGAAATCATTATAGTAATTTCAACCAAATAAAATTTCCCCACGCAGTAGGTTGTTTTGTCCTTTAATGACAGTTTAAAGCTAAGTTGAACAGTAGTACTGATTTATACGTTTCTCAGAGAAGTAGCAAAGCATCTGCAAGCTTGCTTGCACAGCATGATTGAAATTCAGCTATGCTAGAAGGCGAAGGACAATTTTAAAGAAGCCTTATTCATTGCTACTAATATCTAGTAACTGTAAGTCACTCAGGATGGGAAAGTATTGGCTTGTTGTTGGTTTGTGTGGAGTTTTTGTTGGGTTTTTTTTGTGGTTGTGTGGTTTCTGGGTGTTTGTTTTTGTTGTTTTTTTTGTTTTGTTTTTTTTAATCCATTCGTAGTTGTGGCTTTGCAGAAGAAGTGGGGGTATTACAGTTTCTGAACCAAGTTCATTTCTGCTAAATGTAAAACTTTCAGGATGGAAATAGAATTGTTTGGAAAGAGCATTGGGTTCTGTAGTATTGTTATCCCACTAGTACCACATGATACTAAATTCTTCCTTGAGCAAATAAAAAAAAAAGAGGAAATAAAATGCAGGAAGGATGGGAAGGAAATAGTTAAAAATTGAGTAAAAATTTGTCCGGCTCTAAGACCTCATTAGCTGTAACTTGTAAGAATGCATGCTGCAGTCTTCGTCTAAAATACCCATTAAACAAAATCTTATCTTTTGGAGCGAAGAGCGGTTTAGTGAACAGTGAGTTACAGTGTGATGAACTCCAAACAACTGCAGATTAAGAACATCAAAGAATAAATGTTTCATGGAAGTTACAGTAGAGTGTAATTGTAATAGCTGGTTTTGTAAAATAACCCTAATTTTTGAAGATGAACCCAAAACTTTTCTGACAATCTTCAGCTGCATTTAAAATATTCAATTATTTCTGCAGGATTTTCAAATTCTTTTCTTTCTGCTGTCAAGTTGTCTCCTGCATGATGCCTGTTTTTCTTTCCTGACTTGAATAGTTTCAGCTTATTTGTTAATAGAAATCCTTTTGTGCAGTTAACTCATGGGGTGAAATAAGCCCTATGCCTGAGCATAATGTAGGCAGGGGGAATTGTAGAAATTTTCTATCCCTTTCCCCGCTCCCGCCCCCCCAAAAAAAAATTAAAAATTCTTCTTCCCACTTTCCTCCAGCCCATACAACCCTGTACTGTGAGATTATGGTTAAGCACTAGCCATTTGATCATTTGTCCTGTTTAAATCTACACTTCAAACTGTTCTTCAGTATACTATTGGTGGTTTTCTTTACCTTTGTCTTAAGAATCACAAAAACGTGCTATTTCAGTTTTAATGATATTTCACTGCAGTACAAAATAACAAAAAATTTATTTGTTTCTTCAGATTTAACTCCTATTTGGGTAGTATGTTGTCCTGGATGATTTAATGAAGTTCTCTTTAAAATTTAAATATGAGTGTATGTTTTCTCTTAACTACCACCCTCCCTCTTGACTTAAAATTAGTAAGATTTTATTATTATCTTTTATAGGAATGATTGCATAGAGAAGAAAGACAGCCCTGAAGTATTTTTCTGTTGTTGTGAAGGCAACATGTGTAATGAACGCTTCTTCTATTTTCCAGAAATGGAGGTCACACAACGTAAGTTAGTTTGACACATTTATGAAGGAATGGCTTTGCCGAGTTCAGAAGTATTTACTAGTGTGTATGTTGAGGAGATAAGACTTTTCCTTTGTGTTTTTTTTTCCTGCCAGAAGGTTTCCGATTCCCACGATAGTGCTATGTGCATTCATATAACCTAGAAAATTGCCACTTTGTTTCTTCCATTTTGAACTGTCTCTGTACTAGAAGTAATTTATATTGATAAAAGGTACTTTAGCCCTTTTCAAAGGGTGAGAAGGAAGGATAATCTGAAATTATTGGCTGTTTTACGATACAGAAGTTACTGTCAAATCTTACCTTAGTTGTATAGTTAAGCTTCTGTAATTGTCCATAAATCATTGGGCTAAAAGCCATATCATCCTCATATGCATGTACCAGCCTATGAATGCTCTTTCTGAAACAGTGCTTTATTTCGTTGAACTAATCGGACCTTTGAGTTTCTCTGTGAATTGACACAGCAACCTTTAAAAAGGGGGAAAGGATTTCCTCCCAGGTTACAAAGAAAATCAGATAGCCGGACTCAAAAAATAATTGTTTAAAAAAACAGTAACTAAAAGATTATTTGATTATTCTTGCATATCTTCTTTCAGTCAAGAATCTAATCTTTATTGGAAAACTGAATAATGTTAATAAGTGAACTGCAAACAGCAAATGTCTTGTGTACCAAATAGCCAGAGGAAGTTGTTTATGAAATTAAATAACTATCTCTGTGAGATAAAAATGGCCTTTGTCGACCCAAGAAATATTCTTGTCATTTTTGTCAGTGATAGTGCAAAGGCAATAATTGGTGTTCTTCACTCTTGTGAAAGCTCTTTTGCCACAGGGGTCTGCCTATGGCTGGCCCCGTGGAGTGGCGCCCCCTGTGCAGCTGCCTCTGAGGCAGGGTTTCTCTGGAGCCTTTCTCAAGGTTGCATGAAGTGTCTTCAGCTCGAGAACTTTTATTGTCAGCAAGTCAGCAGCGTGTAGGGGTGTTGGCAGATTACTTCTGGCCTCTTCTTATTAATGCCGTATTATTGTATACATTCCAAAGATTAAACCTCAGTTGGTTCTTTTTTGATTTATTAGGTGATAACATTCTTGCAATCATCTAAAAATAAAGACATCTTACACTCTGTAGATACACAGAGCTTACAAGCACAAGAAGAGTTAGGTGGGCTGATGTGTAAATCCGGGGACTAAGTTACTTCTTTCCAAGATGCTACTTTTTTATAAGTATGGATCTGTTCTATTAGAGTATTGTTAGCCTGTTGTGCTGATTGCAAGAATTTTTATAAGATCAGGATGCTAGATATTTCAAACACTGGATGATTTTTGTTCCTTAAAAGCTGTGTCCTTTTGTTTTGTGTTTTTTTTTTTCTACAGCAACTTCCAATCCTGTTACACCTAAGCCACCTCTGTTCAATACCTTGCTTTATTCATTGGTGCCTATAATGGGAATTGCAGTGATTGTGCTCTTTTCATTTTGGATGTATAGACATCACAAGCTGGCATATCCTCCAGTACTCGTTCCAACCCAAGTAAGTTGCTGCATTATTTTGGTTTTGTGAATGGTAAAACCATTTTCTGAAAAGGGGAGAAAGGGGGTGTGCGTCTGTCACGTGGCTGAAGTCTTCTGGTTACTTTCCTGGTTTAAAGGTGCTAATGCTTGCTATCCACAAAAGCAGAAAATTAAGCTTTACTTAAATAGCCTTGTCTACTTTAATTAATTGGTCTTTGAATGTCTAAGCAACAAAATGTTTTTACACGTCTGTGTGTTCGGGAGGAGAAAAACTGAACACAAAACTTCAGATGGCAAAGATGCAGTAGATGTGAGAAGTTTGTGCTCTCACATAGTTAAAAGGACTACTTGTCTAAACATTGTGTACAGCTGCACTCAGGTACTTACGGTTGAGCTTTATTTAATGTTTAGCTTAAAACAAAAGTGAAGGAGAGATGCAAATTCATAATGGCAATTTGCAGTGAATAGAAAATAGTAACTACTAAAAGCTTACCTGTTTTTTTAAAAAAAGCATGTAACTGGGATACAGGTATCAGTTAAAGGGAATATAAAGGAAATCTTCAGTTGAAGCCTAGTTCTAGGGATTAGCTCAGCTCATGCCCTTACTGTGATTCATGTAGTCTTTTTTTCTCTTGTTTGTTTATGTATCTTCTGTTTTGTCCTAAATTTTTTAGCTTTAGCAGTGTTTGTGTTCTACTTAGAAAATACTACGATTATGGTTTCCAAATTTGAAATATCAAAACAAACTGGTTTTGGCTGTGTGTGCATAGTTCCAGCTGTTGTGTGGCTCCAGCTGATTCTGTAGGTGTAATTAGTATTAATACCAGAATTCCTCTTCCTTCAGTTATGTCTAGAGATTCAGTTAAGATTAGAAGGCTTTTATGAAAAGAATTAGGACAGTAAGTCGTTCAGACTGAAGTAGGAAAGATGAACAAAATGTGGTAGTGGAAACAGATGATCAACTTACCCAGGATCCCACACAACTCAGGTTTTGTAGTAGGAATTGAACTTGAACTTCCTAGCTCAGGGCAGTGACCACTCATAGTACAGTCTCTCATACAGTGATGCTATTTATGATAAATAAAATCAAAACACTTGCTGGATTTTGTAGGATTGCCTTTAAAAAGGATTAATAAGTATATTCGCTGTACCCCCAGCTTCTGTGATATTTTCAGTGTTACTGCTTGATTTCAGGGAGCTTGGGAAGCAGTGTTGCATGTCGTTGATACATAAAATTGTTTTGGTTTCAGTTTAGTAGTAATAGATAAGGAAAATTTGGGGGGAAGCAGTGGGCATATGTTCTTGCCAAATGAAAAGAACATAATTTAGAGGAAAAAAGTATGTTTCCTGTCCTTGTGAAAGTATTGCAGATCCTCAAACTTCATGCAATCTGTTAGCATAATTACTTCATCCGTCTCAGTTTTTATGTATTCAGGACTTGATATCAACCTGGTAGTCTTCACTGTACGAACAAATTCATAACTTCATAACTGCTAGGTCTGTGAAAAATTTCAGCAGGTGGTTTCTTTTCTAGACTTAACTAAGTCAAGGATAAAGTAATACAAAAGCAAGCAAATGTTAATACATGCGAGATATCAAGAACTGGAATTTTTATCATCTTCCTTCTTTTAGCAGCAGCTCTTTTCTTTCATGGTTTGTTTGGTACATGAGTGGACACGTCATAGATTTTTAATAAATAGGGTAATAACCTGTTTTGTTAATACTCAGATTGTATCTGTTGGGATAAATATATGTTGGTGCTTGAGCTAGTTATGGTGTACTAACATTTTTCTTATCTTGTGGTGAATAGGCATTAAAGTTTGTGGAAAGTCAGGAAAAGCTACTTCTGCCTGAAAAACTAAATTAAATTATTATGCAAATAGATTATATAAATATTCTCCCATATGCAGCAGAGCAGTATTTCCCACTTTGAATTTGATTAGAACTGATTTGAACAGGAGGCAGAGGAAGCAGGAAGAGAGGGAAAACTATTAGTAATTTTAACTACGAAACAAACATTTAAATATTTTTGCGATTCATATATTAAAAAATAATACAATATCAATAATTAGGACATGATTAGAGTTTGTAGACAAATGGATTATTTTCTAAATCTTTCTGTAGCAAATGGCTAGATCACATGTATAGCAGATACTTGCTAGAAAACGGGGATTTCTCTGTATGAGATATAGATAAAGGTTATCTTCTACACTCCCAGAAGGTGAGGTGATGGGAGTACTTAGGTACAGCAAGCCGTGGTACTAATCTTTCTTTCAGTGAAAATTAAAGGATAGATGAGGAGTAAGTGAAAGACAAAAATGTGGAAGCACTAAGGAATGAGAAATTTTTGAAGAATTAGGACAAGGCATAAGTAAATAAAAATAATCAGCATGCAAAAGGGAAAGAAATTGTTTGGAATAGTTAGGGAAAAAAAAAAAGCTAGGAGAAATTTTTTTAAACCTGTAATATAAAGGACAAACATCTGAGAAAACGCAAACAACTTCATTTTCTTTTGAATGTAAAATTGTTTCATGGTAGATGGGTGTATCAGGCAGGCAGTTCCTATGCAAACTGAGCCAAGTTCACAGCCTGGTGGATTACCTTAACTTTATACTCCCTTTGAATGTACAGATACTTATTTTAAAATTTCATACAGTAGAGTTAGTTTATATGTATGGTTTCAGACTGGAAAACAGTAGATATTTTTGTTTGCTCCTTACATGTTTCATT